GTGCTGCTGCTGCTGCTACAGGGGATGCTGCGAGCAGCTGCCGACAGGCTGCAGCAGCAGCAGCAAAGAGTGCATCTCTTCCTGTGTTCTCCTTTTGTGAGAGTGCTTCTCCGTCTGCAGCAGCAGCAGCAGGTGCTGCAGCATCTGCTGCTGCTGCTGCTGCTGTTGCTGCCTGTACAGCAGCACCTGCAGCAGCAGCAGCAGCAGCAGCAGCAGCAGCAGCAGCCTCGGGGTAGATGGGGGGGATAGGGAGCTGCCCCGGTTGCTGCGTTTGGGTGCAGAGCCGGAGGATCTCCTCAAGTGTCCCTCCTGCTGCTGCTGCTGCTGTCGTTGTTGCTGCTGCTGCTCCTGGCGTTGCTGCTGCTGCTGCTGCTGCTGCTGCTGCTGCTGTTGCTGCTGCTGCTGCTGCTGCTTCCTCTTCAAGTGCATCGCTCCAGTCGCTCCACCCAGGGAGAGACAGCTGCGCCCGCACGTTGGTGGTCCTCAGCATGTGTTTAATAAACTCCCGCTGTCTGCTGCTGTCTTCCATCCCTGCTGCTGCTGCTGCTGCTGCTGCTGCTGCTGCTGTTGCTGCTGTTGTTTTTGCTGCTGCTGGCGCTGCAGACGACTCGCTGCTCGGCCCATGGGTCTTATGGAAGCAGCATAAAGACAAGGAATCCTTGCTGTCTCCTGCTGCTGCTGCTGCTGCTGCTGCTGCTGCTGCTGCTGCTGCATTGCTGTCTCCTTTGGCAGCTTCTTGCATGCGCCCTGCTGCTGCTGCTCCTTCCAACGATGCTGATACAGGGGCAGCAGCAGCAGCAGCAGCAGCAGGAGCTGGAGCTGCTGCTGCAGCCATTGCACGCATCGCTTCCCTCTTGCCCCCCTCCTGCAGCTCTTCACCTCTGTGCTGCGCCGCCCGCTGTAGCATCTGCTGCTGCTGTTGCTGCTGCTGCTGCTGCTGCTGCTGCTGCTGCTGGTACTGCTGCTTCTGCTGCTGGCGCTGCTGTTGTTGCTGCTGGTGCTGGTGCTGGTGCTGCACCTGCTCCTGCTGTGCCCGATGCCGCTGCTGCTGCCGCTGCTGCTGCGACTGGTACTGCTGCTGCTGCTGCTGTTGCTGCTGCTGCTGCTGCTGCTGCTGCTGTTGCTGCTGCTGCTGCTGTTGCCGGAGTAGGTGTTGCTGCAGCCGTTCTTGCTTCGGCTGTTGCTGCTGTTGCAGCAGCAGCTGCTGCTGTTGCTGCTGCTGCAGGCGCTCCTGCGCTTCAGAGGACTGCTGCCATGGTGCTGCAGCCGCTGCAGCTGCTGTGAGGCGGCAGACAGCCCCGCCCTGTGCTGCTGCTGCTGCTGCTGCTGCTGCTGCTGCTGCTGCCTCGTCAGTCTGCCTAGTGCTGCAAGGGATGTCCTGCGAGCTAACCCTGCTAGACAGTGCGGGTTCGCGCTGCTGTTGCTGCTGCTGCTGCTGCTGCTGCTGACGTTGTTGCTGTTGCTGGTGTTGCTGCTGTTGTTGCTGCGGAGAGTGCTGCAGCAGCTGCTGCCGTTGGTGTTGCTGCAGTTGCTGCTGTTGTTGCTGCTGCTGCCGTTGTTGTTGCT